TATGAGCCGATGGTCTAGAAAATGTGGGAACCTCAACATTTCACAACCCTATGGGCCTCAAAAGCCTGTTACAGGGAGAACTTTACCTTTTTTATACAGTAGTTTGGAAAATATCGAATTATTCAGCAATTTACATTCGAATGTGACTATCACTATCTCTTAGGCTTATTTAGTGTTTTATTTCTTCATAGAATTTATTTGAACTATTTCTGTACCTCAGTCAGCTTTGGGTCCCTGCCTCGGATAATTGTAAACGAATCAGTTAATATAAAAGAAGAATTGTATGTTTCAGTTAGGCAGCAACCATATGTAGGCCTACTTCAAATAAAATTTACTTGTTTTGATATCAAATGTATGCCACCATTAAACTCTTTTTGTGAACATGTAAGGGAAAGAATAAAAGAATGTGCCTCTCAAGTATGCGCACGTAGATGCGCAGGACCCCATATTTGACGTTGTAGTAGACTACACAGCAGCACAACACTAGCAGCAATACTAGTCCATCACTAACTGCAGGAAACTTCACCATCGCTACATCGCTACATCGCTACATCTATCTGTAAGTGTCTATTCTCATATGCTCGTATTACTCCAGCGATCCCACGTTTGTTTAATAGGGTCTCTTGAAACTGCCTGCTCAATTACACATGTATATGTATTATGTACCAGTAATTATTTAATTTCGGATTGTGTTAACATGCAACATCAGCAAAATAAGATGCACGAAGCTCCAGTAATGAGCAGCATTGTATAATCACAATTGCTGCAACAATTATCCTCTACGTCATAGCGTAAAGACGTCTTATATTTTACTTGATATAAATGTGCGATGGGCCGTCCATAAATACAACTGAAATACATAAATATTATGATGCAAACTGAGCTTATAAATTCACAAAAAGAGGCCTGTGATAATATACATATATATTTTATGTTGAAATTGACATATGAAAAGTTATTGTTTGACTGAAATATAAGATTCTTTGTTATCCATAAATGTAACAGAATACTTAAATTCCAGTTCGATTCAGTAGCACTGAATGTCAATTCATAGTAAACAATATTGTTGTCTAAGCTTTTGTGCGTTATTGAAAAAATATTGCAATTAAAAGACAAGAGGATAGAGTTACACTCCAACAAGCTCAAACATTTTGCGGATGCACAGTTTGCTTCTTTGTATACATCATTGTCCTCGACTTTCATATACTGTTGCAAAATTAATCTCACTAAAATTATCACACGGCAGAGGGTTATAATATTTTTCCTTGTATGTCGTAAAGAATTCGCCATATTTAAAATATTTCAAACGCAAATTTTAGGATTTTTTTTAAGAAAATTGACACGGATTTTAATTTCCTGTAAATCAGTTGTCATATTGGGCCTGATACGAATTAAAATTAAGTTATGTCCGGACACTCTTGTTATACGCAGTCAAATAACAATTTTCGGTCTAAATAATTTCAACATGAACAAACGAGTGGACATGTGCAACACCCTAGTAATGCATTTATTTATACTCACGCTATGCAAAGAAAGATTAAGACCGACTTGTAATTCCTCTTCTTTATAATCGATGTAGTCGCGGAATCGAATCCCGATGGGGTGGATTTTTTCGATTTACCTAATCCTTCCACCCGCACTATGACCCTGGGGTCGACTCAGCATCTAACAGAAATGTGTATTAGGAATATTCCTGGGGGCAAAATGCGGCCGGCGCGTAAGGCTGACAAGCTTACCGCCATCTGTGAGCCGATTATCTAGAAAATGTGAGAGCCTCAACATGTCACAACCTTATGGGCCTCCACGGCCTGTTACAGGGAAACCTTTACTTTTTTACTTTTTATTGATACACATTGAACGTTTTTATTAATATATAAATTGCAGATTTACAGTATACTCTCAATTTTATGGAGTAATAAGTAAATTTGCTCTAAGTGGGTGTCTTGAGTACAAAAATCATCACTGATGATACTCTTACAGGCCCTATAGAAGAATGGTGATGGTTTTAATCTTCGTCATCTGCTGGTTGTGGTAGGTCAGACGGCCACTGTCTCCTCATTATTGTTCTTACGTTTGGTGGGTTGCTAATTTCTACAGCTTGTCTGTTGTTGTGTCCGAGTAAGCTTTGATGGTAGAGTGTTGACAATCTACGTATTTCTTCTACGACAAATTGGTTTTGAAGGTCATTATGGAGAGTACAGTTGGAGACATACCAAGGTACTTTAGTTATTGAGTACAAGAATTTTGATTGAAGTCTTTGAATTATTTTTGTGTTTGATAGTTCTGTGCAACCCCATAGCTGTAAACCATTTATCCATATGGCTTTTATTACGAATTTATATAGTAGAAGTTTGCCTTCTATGGATAACTTGGATTTGCGGCCCAAAAGCGAGAACATTTCTCGTAGCATTAAGTTTAACTTCTGACGCTTTGTACATTGCACGTTGACACAAGTTTTCTTGTTTGCGAGACCTGATTACGTCAGGGGCATACTAACACTGCGGTCTGGACGGTGAAACTGGAAAATCTGTAACAGAAAATCTGGATGTATGAAGGCGCTGCACTAAACATTTTCAGAACATGCTTCTGCTTGATGTAATCACCTTGATGCTCCTGCAGGCTCTATATCATAGGAAATACAACCGCCCTTACTCCAGTAAACGTACAAGTGGGGCTCACAGACCAACCTCCAACCAATTGGTTGTGAGGAGAACATTTTTACACCTCCCATGTCGCAGACTGTGCACACACACGATTCATTTTGCAGCTGGCCACGCTGCTAAGTTATATCTTTACTACTGAAAAGCGTACGCAAGACTTCAGGCCCGAGACTTTTACAGGCTTCCTAGAAGAAATCGCACCATTCACCCAATGGAAATATAGAGATATTTATTTCAAACATTTTCTATAGGTACAAATTATACATTTTCTTCACGAAAATCTACTTTAATATACAAAAGTCCACTCTGTCATGTTCAGTAACATTGATAGAATTCTCATCTTCAACTGATGAAGTGAAATAAAGTAACACTTAATGTACATAGCACTAGTTTTGGTTCCTTGTTGTCTGAGATCTTTAATTGACGTCCTTTCTACACGTCACTGTAGATGTGATGTCGTTGTAAACCTGGTAGCAAGGCACTTTTATCGATGTGTCGTTAAGTATATTCAGTGTTAGCAGAAGGGGGCTTCGCTTAATTTGTCATGTATACGCATGAATAATATGAAAAAATTAAAATTCGAGTTATTTTGACTGAGAAGCTGGCGATTGGGCTGTAGCCCCATATTAACTTTCTGTTCATAGTGGGTTTGCACTTACGACAAAAACAAACGGACAAACAAACTCCGTGGCCTGTAGTCCGCAAGAGAACTATACCGACCGAGTGACCGCTGCTTGTCGGTCAAGTTAGTGCCAACGTTAGCCGATAGAGGGTGTCGCGTGGTCAGCACAACGCATTCCCACTGCCGTTAATTTCGGTTCTCTAGACCGGAGCCACTATTTCCTTGAAATAGCTCCTCAATTATCCTCACGAGGCTGAGTGGACCCCGTTCCAGACTCAGTACTTCTCAGATAATTTGGTAGCGCCGGTAATTGAACCCGGGATCTCTGGATCTGTAGCCAGGAACTCTGACCACTAGACCACAGAGGCGGTCAATATACCCATAATATTGCTTTAATTTAATTTTGAAAACTGCGATAAAATACGAGTACATTGTACTTCATATGTATGTAATTTGCCTCTACAAGATTCATTTTAAGCAAATTTCCCTTCAATAAATATTAAGTAGTTACGGTCAACGTAAGAGCAGGAACAATTTTAGGTCTTCAGGTTTAGTGGTCGTTAATCGTGTCAGATGTAAATGAAAATTGAAGCAGCTGCTTCATTTTCCGTAAAAATATCCAATATCGAGTTTCTTGAAGATCCTTCCAATGGTTCTCGAGTAGTTTCATGCAAAGGGTGGGCAGACGTCGAACTTAATGGGTATTCTGCAGGGCTGCAAACTCGCCTACAAACTGACCCAGAAATATTCAAGCAGAGTTAAGGGTTTTGTTAAATTTTGAAAATGTTGCATTTCAACAAATCCAATTATTACTCTGCTCTCTAACAAGTGATTTTCACACCTGAAGATGTGGAAGTGGTCATATCTTAAACCTACCACTGCTAAGGCTCAGCTATGATGACCTGGAATTGTAGACCAGGTTGAAGAGAAATTTACTCCTTACAGAAATGAACACTTAGAGGCCTAATGTCAAATTAGTGCCTGTCGGTTCCATGCCAGTGCAGTGATCACCCTACTTGAACTAGCGTTTAACTGTGCAGCATAATCAGCATGCAAAGCTGAACTCTTCACGCAGATCCACTGGAATATTTTGTCACGTCACACCACATTATGAAGAAAGGAGCAGTGGGTCCCGATTTCAGAAATTGTTTCATTACTTCTCCCATTGTTGTTTATCATGTTTCGGTTCCCATCCTTTCTCACTGTCACTTGTTTGTCAGTAACTTTGCACTTTCATTTCTTGATCTGTCACTGCACTTTCCCTTCTCTTACCACTGAAGCATTTGCGAATAACCGAATTGTTCCTGAGTTTGTCTTTGGGCGAAGCTGCTTAGTTGTGTTCTGCTGGTGCTAGAAATAAACCGTGAGGTTCATCTGGTCCGAGGACTGCTGCTCTTGCGCTGTGAGTGGCGTGACACTCACCTCTGGGTCCATTGCAAGCTGCCAATTTAAATTAAAGAAAGTAAGCAAAGAAAAAAAAACAAACAAAACTATGATGTATAAAGTACTTATAAGAACAGTGCTATCTTATGCCTCTGAGACCTGGCCACTGTCAAGATCGGATGAAAGACTGTTAAGTATATTTGAAAGCAGGATCTTGAGATATATCTTTGGACCAGTGGAAGAAAATGGAATATGGAGGAAGAGGTATAACCATGAGTTATACAAACTATTTAATGAACCAGACGTCACTGGATTTATAAAGGTGAAAAGGCTTGAATGGGCTGGACACACAATACATGCCAGCGAGAATAGAACGATTAAAAAAATACTTAATATTCAACCGGAAGGAAATAGGAGAGTGGGAAGACCAAGGTTAAGATGGGAAGAATGTGTGTGGCAGGACATAAGAATTTTGGGTGTAAAGAACTGGAGGAATGTAGCATCGAATGGAGAAGAATGGCGAGCAATCCTGAGGAAGGCCAGGGCTCACAAAGGGCTGTCGTGCCAGTGATGATGATGATGATGATGATGATGATGATGATGAAGCAAAGTAAAAGAGCCTTTTCATCTGATTTGCTTATCAGGCTATATATAGTCTAGAAAGTGCGAATACTGTGTGTTATTTACTCCGCAGAACTTAACCCATCTTTGAGAAGCCTAAACACGAAAGCCCTCCATGGGATCCTGGCCTGAGCCACACAATTCAAGTTCACTTTCTTATAGCCTAGTTCTCCGGAATTCATTTAAATATTTCTCCATCATCTACTCTTAGGTCTTTCAAGGGGTGTTTTTATTTTAGATTTTTTGACCAAAATTTCATATGCATTTCTCACATCTTTGCTCCGCACCCATTTCCCCTAATGTTATGCAATAAAGAATAAAATTTAACGTGACTGGGGAAGGCACTATGCTACAGGGCGCGAGTTTGATTCCCGATGAGGTCATGGATTTTTAAATTTACCTAATCCTTCCAGCCGCACAATAGCCCAGAGGTCGATTAAGCCTCTAACAGAAATGAGTACCAGGTATCTTTCTGAGGGGTAAAGGGCAGCCGTCGCGTAAAGCTGACAACCTCACCACCATCTGTGAGCCGATTGTGTAGATAATGTGGGAGCCTCGATCTTTCACAATCCAATGGCCTTCCCGGCCTGTTACAGCGATAGCTTTACCTTCTTTTTGCCTTTGCTCCACGTCCATTTCCCCTAATGCTAAACAATGAAGAGTAAAAATTAACATGACTGGGGGAAGGGGCCGTTGAAAATTCAGCATGTAGTCTCTTATAACTTATTTACCTCCTCCTGGGCCGCGCCATAGCTCAAGCGGTTAGTCGCTGGCTTCCCACCGGGGCGGCCCGTGTTCGATCCCTGGGTCTGGTCAAGTGGGATTTGTGGTGGACAAAGTGGCGCTGGGGCAGGTTTTCTCCGAGTACTTCGGTTTCCCCTGCCAATCTTCATTCCGCCAATTGCTCCACAATCACCCTCACCTATCATCTGGGGCTGGTACAATAGGCCAGAAGCGGCCGCAGTACAAGGGACTTAGTCCCACCCCACTAGCAATAACAAAAATACCTCCTGCTCCTCTCCGTACTCCCATATTAATTTTTCAACCATTTGATTTTCCCTAATGTGAAATTGTGCAGGTATTCAAGCCGTCTGACAGTCAGTGCCTTTGTCAGACACAGAACGACGTCCTCTGTGATTGCATAACCTACACACAGCCAATCATAAACCGTCTTGTAACACAAACGTTCCTCGTTATGCAATTCCATCGTCCTGCTATTTCCTCTCAAGTTGAAGCACTGAGGAAAATAACAGAAAAGGAAGACAAATCTGTACAGTGCATACTCGATAATCCAAACCAATTAAAGCTCTGCAGTTTCGGTATTAACGAATACCTTGGATTACTGGAGTTTGCATAAACAATAAATAAATTTTAGTAGAATTATTTATTTAAAAGATTTATAGGTATATACAAAAACCAAAAATCCATGTTATGGGGGCAAGTGGTAACCGGGATATATTTTTCACTTCCCATGTAGTTAGGTACCTTAAATCAATTCAGATTGACGCATTTTCGGATTGCCAATGATCCATCTTTTTAATTAATTTAAAATATTTTGAGTTACTGGGGCCGAAACACCAAGCTTCATGCCAACCCATTGTAACTATTGACTACTTTAATATCTAAGAGAATCTGAGGGTAAGCAACACTTTTTAAAACTGCATCATTATGCCGAAGTACATATTTTGGGCTACTATAGATGACTTGTAACAGAGCACAGGTGAAATGACTGCACACTAACCTTTCTCTGCTGGGAAGATTCGTCGTCCCAGCTGAGTTTTTTGACTCGCCGAGGGATTGAGCCGCTTGGCCAAGCGACTCCATTCTTCGGTTGGTTATTGTTGTCGACGGTCGGCGTCGATGTTCTAGCGTCGTCTGGCAGTTGTGGTGGAGCTGGCGCCACTTTATGTTTGGCAGAACCCAGTCCCTGGGCGAAAGGGTTTGCACAGCTTCCTCTTATGCTTCCTCTCGAGGAAGTATTTCTTGCCATTATGCCTGTACAAATTTGTACGAGTTGCATCAGAATCCAACCAACAGCTCACACCTCACAGTGACCTCGTTGCTTGAACAACATTTATCAACCAGAATGCAGATAACTGTGGTGAGAGGGCATTAGACATTACAGTTTTTGTGCATCAATTACTTTTGATAGCAGAAAGAGCTACTGGCAGGAATGAGATCCATGTACGTGCTAAGTGGGACGACAGATGTATATGGCATGTTACCCACGCTGGAAATTTGCCTCCCATTCTTCAGACACCAGCTGCTAAGAAGAATACTTGAACCTAAAAGGAGGAAGAAATAGGAGACTGCAGAATCCTACATAATGAGGAACTTTTTATTCTTATCCTTCTACAGATATCCTTAAGGTGCTCAAGTCAAGGAGCATTTGGTGAGTAAGATAATGCACACATGGAATTTAGAAATGTGTACAAAATTTTTGTCGGAAATCCAAAGGGATGGTAAAACTAGGAAGACTTAAGTGTAGATAGAATGAAATTAATCTGGAGAAATAAGGTGTGAAATTGTGGGCTGGATTCATATGGCTCAGGATAGGGTTCAGTGGTGGCCTCTTATATCTCATTTCTTGATCAGCTAACAATTTCCTAAGAAGGGCTCTGCTTCGTGGGGTTTATAATGTGTCTATCTCCCTCTTTCTATATATGTACAGAATATATCATCGTTATATACCGTATTTTACAGAATGTTGTCTGAATATCGACATAATTAAGAAGTTTAATATGAATACATATGGGGCACACAGTAGCGTAGTTGGTTGAGGCACTGTGCTACAAGCCTGATAGTCGCGGGTTCGAGTCCCAATGAGGTGGATTTTTTTTTCAATTTTCCTGATCCTTCCAGCCGCACTATGGCCCTTGATTCGACTCAGCCTCTAACAGAAATCAGTACCAGGAATCTTCCTGCGGGTAAAGAGCGGCCGGAAAGTAAGGCTGCCAAACTTACCCCCATCTGTGAGCCGATTGTCTAGACAAAAGTTGGGAGCCTAGAAGTTTCACAACCCTCTGGGCTCTCACGGTCTGTTATAGGGATAACTTTACTTTTATATGGATACAAATCCTGAGGGCCTTCCTTACAAAGTTATAACCATCAGAAAATGTACGTTCCTGAAGTAACATTCAAATAAACAGACTTTTTATTTGTGTTGCGTAATGATCACAGAGATCCATTTGGCGCATCATGTGCCCTTACATTTTACCAGCACGCGTTAGTGGGCAGGATTACCTCAAAAGTTTTCCAACACAATTAAATGGACTACTGTAAGGTATGGCCTACAATATACATCTTCACATCCTGCAAAGCATGACATCTAATAATAAGGCATTCTCTATCTATGGCATTTCGGATCTTGCAACTGGTCCAGCCCTAAGGCAATTCCTTGTACTTTCGTTATTATTATTGTTGTAAAATACATAAATAAAATTATATAAATATAGCGTATATTTCATTTTTCTTGCCACATATTTTATATTATTTTGTACATTCTTTTAAATTGAACAGAATTACATAAGGCACAGCATGTCACAACACCATAAGATATTTGTACAGACATCAGACGAAGCACTGAACGGTGTTTTTATACATTGTGTAGTTCTTCCGTACATGCGCGGCAGGAAAGCCCGAATGTGCTGTTTGTTTGCACTACAAGTGTGAACTTGAACCTGTAAGAGTACCGCATTCTAATAGCTTAATCAACATTTAATTCAGCAAAGGACAAACTGAAATTTTACCCAAATAACAAATATCGAACTTTTTTTTTGTATTTAAGGTCTGGGATGACTATTACTCATTGTACATATTTACACGTACAATTGCCTAGAAACATATGTCATAAAGTGTAGTTTCAAAATTATTACTTACAAACTTTTTGAGATCTGTGGTCGTCCGTATTACGATGCCGTGAATTCTCCTAAGTGGTTACCGACGTTTCAGAAGAACCTACTGCTTCCATTTTCTACCTTGAAAATGAAGACACTAAGTTCCTAAAAAAATTGGTAAATAGCCTTGCCATTACACAGAGCAAATTTTGAGTAAAGGAAACTGCTTTAGTGTCCTGCACGTCGCAATCTGAACCCTATGTTCAACTGTTTTACCACAATATTTACATGGTTATATTGTAACAGTCTGAAATTTCAACAGAAAATCGAATCGTTTTTTATGGGAGTTTTAGTACTATTAACTTTCCTTGCTATCTTAAATATTCTTTTTCAGTTCTACATCTAATCGATTGATGCGTCAAGGTTGACGTTTATCGCTGTCTCCCACGAATAACACGCACAATAATCAATCGTAAACCACATCCATTACAGAGTATATACACTTCACATACCCACACAACAAATATCATTAACATTCACAGAGTAGACACGATACAAAAAAAGACTTCTCGCTCGTTCGTTCGTGACCTACTACGCAATTTACACATATTAATACAAGGTGTTGTTCCTCGATAATTTATTGCTGTGGTGTCCATAAATTTTGTAACGACGATGAAAAGTCTCAGACCCTTAAGATTTTTACCTCACTCCCTCCCTCTCGAGAGAGGCTGAAGCTAGAAGGAAGTTTAAATCACAGATTTAATGTGGTGTAGTAGGACTACCGACGTATCGTGGAGAGAAAGTTTGCAGCTCCCGGTAACGCGGAAAGACTTGCTGGTGGAAGCGTAAGCCTCAGGTACAGCCACCCATGCCAGACAAGTCAAAGGGTAAAAGCTAGAAAATATAGTCCCTCGTCCTCCAGGTTGGGGATTGGGCGTCGGGCTGACTATCCCACCCCGGAAAAATTGACCGTTACGAAACCATGGAGGAAGCCAAAGTCCGTACAGGGTAGTAGCGCCGGGAAAGAAGGAGGAGGAGGTTAACCGTTCCCACTCTCGCCTCAGTGCCTCACTCACTTTTCACTGTGGCGGTCTGGAAGGGCCCACCCTCCTGCTGGCCGTGGAACATGGGGTTCTCCACTTTGCCTTCCCCTCCTGAGGAGAGCTTCTCATGTTGTATTGGGTTATTCATGTAGCCTTTTGTTCCTGGACTGCTCCCGGATTTTTGCCTTTTGCTGTAAGGACAGAACATTCGTCACTATTATAACCAATGCGACTTTGAAAAGTCTGTTTCATCACGTCACTGTTTACATAAATTAAATTTATATACTTGCCACAGTGTATATTATAATGAGATTGATACCTGTTGGGTCGTGGTTGGCTTCTAGATGAATACCAACGTTTCGAAGTATCTTTCTGCCCCCGCAATTTGCACTAAAACTTTGGTATTCAGGCACATAAATGCAAGTCTAACAGTTACATTTGTTAAGGGTCAAGAAATTCTATGTGTGTGTTACAATACTGCACTCTATTGATCAAATCTCGAGCTGTTTTAATATCAGAGGGACAAAACAGGAAGACACACTTGGTGTTGAAGAATTCTGTCTTCTGGGATATAATGTCGTGTAGACAGCTGAAAATCAACCGACGTTTCGGAGAAATATCGCCTCCATCTTCAGAGCTTGCCAACTGCTTTCACTTTGGTTTCTTCCTTGGCATATTCTTCGACCCTGAAGATAGAGGCGACATGTTCCCCTGAAACGTCTGTTAACTTTCAACGGATTACACAGGGTTATATCCTAGAAGATAGAGCACCGCTGTGAGAGCATCGAATCATGCAGACTTGTTGTTAATTGGTTAATGAATTATTTAACGACACTATGACAACTACAGAGGTAATTTAAAATCGGATGATATTAGAAGACACTTATGTACACTGAACTGGAAAAGACGGCAATGAAACAGCTCTGATTTACTTGAAGGCCGGCCTATAGTTCTCACGTTTACAGGAGAACCTGAGGAAGGTGCGATGCGGACGTTGAGAAGTTTGGTACAAATGACTTACTGCTTGTAGATGTAGATGATGAGCATGATGATGATGAGTCCAAGGACGGCGAGCAGAGATCCGAACACTACCATGAGCAGGAAGCTGGCACTTCCGGCGGTCTGCACCACGCTCTCCGGGAAGTGCACGACAACAGGAACTGCCGTCTGCACCCAGAGCAACAACATGAACACATGCATTGTGTGATCTCCTGTGTTTCTCAAACAAGAAAGTAACAGGTTTGCTTCAACCTAGAAGATCCCAGGAATTAACTATGACCCATACAGTCTTCATAGGAAGGATGTGCCGCTAATCTGCACAGGGGACTGCTCGACATACCCTAAATGTGAGATCTGATTTTGGCATATCGCAATTTGGAAGAGAACCGAATTAGTTTTGCTGTTACTCTACCTGTCTAGGAGGTATCCCATTGTCTGTAGCCACAGCCATCATGTGTACTGTACTGCCGTTGAGAAGTGTCATGTCCACAAGAATGATGTCACCCGTCTCACTTATGTCGAACATTCTGGAAAACAGTTAATTTGATTAGTTCATCTATTCTGAGTGACAGAATTCACATACCTAATTTCCTGCAAGCTACAAAGCAGGCGGTTAAAGACAGAGATATATAAAGATAATATTCATAGCATAAGGTTTGAGGTTCTCACGGCGGTGACCATGAAGAATGCCGTCTTCTGGGATGTGGCGCCGTGTAGATCTTGTGTGAACCGACGTTTCAGAGGAATGTATCGCCTCCATCTTCAGGGTAGAAAAATCCGCGAGCGAGGAACCAGATTGAGCAAGTGGCTGCAGACTGAGCCACCCTACCTTCCTGTCCTTATATAGCTG